TTCACTTCGCCCACTCTTGGACTGCCCTATGCTTGCTCTCCCGCTCTAAGCTGCGCTCCACAGGCTCAGGCTCAGGCCCAGGGCTTCAGGGCTCCTGACTCCGGCCAGAGCAGCAAGCTGATCTCTGTGCTAGGGCCACAGTTGTTTCTACGCAAACCTACCAAAGCCCGTTATTCCTACTGGTGGCACACACTTGGTTAAACAGTGCAAAAATATACAGTTGGGAAAGAAACATAGTGGTAAGAGATAAACAGTAAAGATTTGAAGTTAAGAACACCTGCTATCAAATTAGGTGTGGACAAGTCAACTACCAAAGCTGGGGCAGTGACTATAGAATTTTAGGGTTATGTACTCCAGCTGTTTCACTTATATTCCGATAAATACACTTTGAAGAAAGCAATGGGAATCATTGAGGATGCACTACAGATGGAACTCAAAGCAGCACACCTATATTTAACGAAAAGGTCTTGGCCCTATGTCACCAGGCTGAGTTGACAAATGACAACTGAATACAAAAATCAGATATAAATGTAGATGGACTCTTTAAGATTCCATACCTGATTCTACAGTTTCAAGAAAGTAAGAAGATCTCCCTCTGTCTCTCCTCTCCAACACTGCCTTTCAAATAAATCAATAAATCTCGAAAATATATGTATGGGGACAGTGCTGTGGCACAGTAGGTAAAGCTGCCAACTGCAGTGCCAGCATCCTATATGGGCGCTGGTTTGAGTCCCGGCTGCTCTACTTCCCAGCCAGCTCTCTGCTGCGGCCTGGGAAAGCAGTAGAAGATGGCCTAAGTCCTTGGGACCTTGCACCCATGTGGGAGACCCAAAGGAAGTTCCTGGCTCCTGGCTTCAGATCAGCGCAGCTCTGGCAGTTGCGGCCATCTGGGGAGTGAACCAGAGGATGGAAGACGTCTCTCTGCGTCTCCTTCTCTCTGTAACTCTGACTTTCAAATAAAAATAAAATAAAAATCTTTTTAAAAAGAAAAAAATATATATGTATGGAAAGAAAAAGAAGCCCTTTCCAGTGACTTTAAAAAAAAGGAAAAATGAAAAGAATACTGATGATGTAGGTGGTAGCTAAGGCTACCTGTCCTGTCACCGAGGTGAGGACAGGCACATGCTGCCATCACTGTCCTCCTTTACTAAGCTATGATGGTGTCTCTGCAGCCCACAGGCAGGTGAAAGTGAACAATCTCTCTTGGAGATGTATCGACCATCTTCCTTTTATTGACTTGTATTTCTTCTTAAAGCATTAGTATATGGAAAACGCATCTTCTACAATAGAATCATTTCCAATTCTTGTTCCCTCTTCATTCTTTTATGACATGCATATAAATATATTTTACATGATTGTACCCTAGTGTGTGCAATTTTGTGTTCTGATCTGTTCATTTATTTTGCAAAGCACTGTGTTCATATTTCCCTTTGTTCATTTACTTATTCAGCAAACATTTATAAAATGCTCACATTGGGTTTCAGGCACTATTCCAGGTGGAGTGAATATAAAGATAGATAAAAACGAGGTCCCAGCCATTGAAAAGCTCTCAGCTTACTGGAATATAACAGATAATTACAATGCGAGGTATCATAATAAATCCATATTTAAAGGCCCCTGTATTTACCATCTTAATAGCTTCATAATCGTCTAGCTGGGTAACATCTGAACAATTTAATACCCTTCCTTGATTATTTTTCATTATAATAAACACTGCTACAACTGATATGTTCAACAGTTTTTCTTTTGTTAATCATTTTCTGTGGATAGATTCTTTAGGAATGAGGTCACTGCATCAGTATTGTTCAGATCTTTAGAGCTCTTGATAAACCTGCTTAAATAGCTTCATGTAAGGGTCATACGCATATATAATTTCATCAGCACTTCCAAGCTTTGTGAACAGTCTTACCACTAAGTAGTTTCTCAGGTTTTTTCATAAGTCTTGATTTTTATGTCTTTAATTAATGCAGGATGGAACATTTTCTCATTGTTAAGATATCTTTCATCTTGTGGGATTTGTGTTTATCATTATTATAGCAGCTTCTTAATATTTTTACGTTACATATTTTTTTGTCATAATTGATTACAAATTTCCCTAGTTGTCAATCTCTTTCTTTAGCTAGAGAGTTAAATTACTGAAAGTTTCAATTTTTTTTTAAATTAGTCACATCTTTTTATATTTTTCCTCTGGAATTTCTCCCATAGTTACGACCTTTTTTTGTTTGTTTTTATAAATTTATTTATTTATTTGAAAGACAGAGTTACAGAGAGGAAGAGGCAGGGAGAGAGAGGGAATCTGCTGGTTCACTCCCCAATTGGTCACAATGGCCGGAACTAGGCTGATCTGAAGCCAGGAGCCAGGAGCTTCTTCCGGGTCTCCCACATGGGTGCAGGGGCCCAAGGACTTGGGCCACCTTCTACTGCTTTCCCAGGTTGGGAAAGAAACATAGTGGTAAGAGATAGCAGAGAGGTAGCAGAGAGCTGGATGGGAAGTGGAGCAGCTGGGACTCAAACAGGGACCCATATGGGAAGGGCCTTAACCTGCTGCACTATAGCACTGGCCCCCCATAGTTAGAATCTTAAGAAACCACTCTGCCAGCCATGCATTTAACATTCATTCAGCCTTCAATTTATGTCTCCTTTGCACCTTGCTTCACAGCAGGGATAAAAAAGTATGACTGACATATTAATACAAATTATCCCAAACTTGGAAATAGGTTAGGCATATCCTCCCAGCACCACACTGGGAAGCCCATTAACTGCTTCCCCAGGGACAGGTGCCTTTGTTTGGCACACTACTACTTTTAAGGCAAGTTAACATCTCCATTAGTGAGGATGTTAACCGGTAGAAAATACAAAGCAATGCAAATGACTGTCAGCCGGCAATGAAAAATACATTTCAACCTGCAGAGATGCAAATGATTCGCCACCTAGAAAAGATAACTCAAGGGTTACCATTCTATTGTCCTGCGGCCACTACAGAGTTTAGCATCTAACTTAGCAACCTGGATCAGGTGTATTTTCTTTTGGTCAAAAATACTTGGCTCTTTCACAGCTCTCTGAGTTGGCCTGACCATTTTCCAGATTCCCTCATTAATGAGTTAAACAAAACTCTGACACATGCTCCTGGTAGGTTTGTGTAAGAGCCAAGAAATTCAGCTTCTAGCAGCAGCCCTGCCAATTCCACCCCAACGATAGCTCACTTAAAGTCCTCCTCAGCTTCTAGGTTTGTTTCCTGCAAATCCTGCCGTTCTGTAAGGTCAAATGGTATTCAGGAAACGAACGCACTCAGGAAACTGCATTTCTGTGTGCCGACACAAGCTGAGCATCCCTATTCGTAAACCCTCCAGAACCTAAAACCCTTTGAGCACTGACGTCATACCCTGAAAGTTTTGGACTTTGGAGCATTTTTTCAGATTTCAGATTAGGGAGATTCAACCAGTGAAGTCTAGGGAAACATTTCAAAATCCGACCAACTCTGAAATCTGTAATGCTTCTGGTCCCAAGCATTTCAGATAAGGGACATTCAACCTGTCCAAGTGCTGTATCAGAACAAATGAGGAGGAACTGGTGTTGGGCCACAGCAGGTTAAGCCGCTGCCTCTGATGCCAGCATTACATAGCAGTGCCAGTTCAAGTCCCGGCTGCTCCACTTCTGATTCAGCTCCCTGCTAACACGCCTGGGAAAGCAAGGGAAGATGGCCTGACTGCTTGGGCCTCTGCACCCACGTGTAAGATCCGGATGGAGTCCCAGGCTCCTGGTTCAGCCTGGCCCAGCCTCAGCTATTGCAGCCATTTGTGGAATGCACCAGTGGATAGAAGGTCTGCCTCTCCGTCTCTGTCTCTCCCTCTATCTCTCCGTCACTCTGCCTTTCAAGTAAATAAATAAATAATTTTTTTTAAATGAGTGAATGATGAGGTTCTTAAATCTAAGGTCTGGGATCCCCCAGGCCTTTTAGGGAGTGGAACCTGAAAAGCTCACCCCAGTATCTGAAGGGGCATTTCTCTAGCAGGTCTGGCTCTGCACAGCCAGGACCAAAGAGGGCGAGGCAGTGTGGTGCAGAGGAAAGAGTGGGGATCCCAATGAGATGTGCCTCTCTTTACCCCCTCAGCCTGCCTCTGTTACGGTCTTTAATATTTTCTCTTTTTTTTAAGATGTATTATTTATTTACTTGAGAGGCAGTTACAGATATAGGGAGGGAGAGACAGAGAAAGGTTTTCCATCTGCTGGTTCACTCCCCAAATGGCCACAAATGCCGGAGCTGGGCCTATCCAGAGTCAGGAGCCAGGAGCTTTTTCTTGGTCTCCCATGTGGGTGCAGGGGCCCAAGCACTTGGGCCATCCTCTACTGCTTTACTAGGCCATTAACAGAGAGCTGGATCGGAAGTGGAGCAGCCGGGACACAAACTGGTACCCATATGGGATGCCAGCACTGCAGGCGGATGCTTAACCTACTACACTACAGTGCCAGCCCTTGCTAGGGTCTCGAGCCTCTCTCCTCATCGCCACGACTAGGTGCTGAAGACGAGTCAGTGGGCTAATGTGTAAAGACCTTGTCACGTCTGCCACATACTTAGACTTGCTCTTTTAATACATGTCACTTCTTTTCCTTCCATCTATATCCACAGTGTCCCCCACAATAAACACGGAATCCATACTCGAGAGATGGATCCGGATCAGCCTGGACACACAGAGTCTTCCAGTCATTAAAGAAGAGACAGTTGGCGGCACTCGGCTGGAATGCCAGAGCTACTCAGCAGGCCGTGTTAGAAAGACAAGGGTTCCAAATGACGGCCTCACATCTGACCCCAACCGGCTTGGAGACATTCCTCTGTGGGAACTCATTTCCTCAGAAAGGAGATTCAACTAGATGATCCATAAGGTCTCCTGGAGTTCAAACAGCCTGCGCATGTGCAGGGAGGGCTCCTGGGCGGTGGAGGTGGGTGGGGGGCTCTGCCAGCCCACAGGAGGCCACGGTGTAGCAGCCAGCAGCACGCTTACCTCTCCTACCACCTCTATGATGTCTCCGACTTTCAGCTCAAGCTCATCATCATTCTGCGGCAGGTAGCTGAACGCCACCTGACACCGGCGTCTCCGTCGCTCGCCTGGATGGGGAAAGCAAAAATATTTAGATACAGCTCTTCTCCCAAAATTAGATTTTATAAGAGAGGCTTCCTAGGCATGCAGGCAAATTAAGCTGACTGGTCTCAAAGATGCTCTCTGGGACATGGCTAGAGGCACGGCAGCCCTGGTCTCTTAGAAAAGGCAGTAGAAAGCAGAGCAATGCTTCTTGGTCTTTTAAAAGCTGCTGGGTCAGAAAGGCATGGACATGAGAAACCGATCCACTGGCGCAGAAGGCAGAAACCCCACCCTGAAGCACTGGAGCACAGTGTTGCCTTAAACGGTTTTCCATGGATGGGGCTTTAGATTTGCTGCTGCTGATTTTTTAATGAAAGCTGATGTGATGTGGTAGAGAAAAAAGAATGGTCTGCTTCTAATGCTAGCAAGGCACTGGGGAATTCTTCCCAAATGTGCAAAGGAAAAGATAAAGTATCCTGGCCTTTTTCTTACTAATCATCACCCTTTCAACGTGCTCAAACTCTGGCCTGATAAGCAAAGGCCAATTCAATTTCAGCCTGCTCTTGATAACATTTCAAATGCACCCAAGGGGGTTGACAAATCTACTTCTGTCCTCTTCCTTGTCTGCAGGGGATCCATGAATAGGATCCCTGGCTGCTTACACACAACCAAGCCAGGCAAATCAACATGGCAGCCAGGATCACACTTCACTCGACCAGAGGACACTCAAAAGCTACAGCATCTCACTCACCCAGTGTGGGCCACATGGAACTCCCTGGCTGACAGCTGATTCAAGTTCAGATGCAACTGTCCACGGAACATTCACACCACAATTGTGCATTGTGGGGAGGATAAGCATTCTGCGGGATGGAGACCGCAGAACGTATGTATATCAGGGAGACAGAGACCTGCAGCGACGCTGGCCCAAGCCGAGAAGAGGAGGATAGGATCCAGGAAGTAAAACCGTACTGCTCAGAAGTCTGCTGCCCACGGCTGACTGTCTCACACCACTCCTTCATGTCACCACATAGCCCAGAAACCAAAGGCATGGAGGACTTCAAAGAAACCCATTTGCAAATGTTAGATTTATTTCTGGATCCTGCCTATGGGGATCCTTTCTCTTTTCTAATCTTTTCCCTGAGAAAGAAGTGCCTGCGGCGCAGGTGACATCGCACAAAGGGGAAGGTCTCCACGCTGCATCTGATGTACCCCCTGATCGATATATTTCAAAGCCAATGGCCTGGTTCCCCCTGTTCCGTTTTGCTTTGCCTCTGTCTCACTAAGGAAGAACAGAGGTAAACACAGGGAAGAGGGCAGTTCAGAATCAATATGCCTTCTCATCACACCTTTGGCCACACACACACTCTCCACTCCTGTGTGCAAAGTCACAAGCCACCAGCTCTGGACAAGAACAACTGCAGAGCTCTCAGGCCACCGCCAAGTGAGCACCAAGGCACTGACAGCAGGCTCAGTAGTATGATCCGACCCCCAACCCCTCTCCCGCCTCCCCCAGGAGAGCCTGGCTCTCCCTGGAAAGAGGGCCCACTGCGACTTACTTCCAGAAGGCAGCGGTCAGGAGGAGAGAGAATTCCAGAGTGAAGAACACCATCACGTTCCATGGCTTCTGACATGACAGAAAGCAAACCACGCACCCGGTGCCGTAAAGGATACAGATTTCTCCCTCTAGCAAACAAAGTCTAGGTGACAAGGTGATCTTAGCACCTGTCTTCTCTCCCCTGTGATTCCGCTGACCCTATATATACCCCGTAAGCAGGGCTGTGGACCGTCGGGCCCACAGGCCATGTAAGGCCTGCAAATCATTCTGCCAGGCACTGCCAGGCAACCACAGATGAGACTCCAAATTCAATAAATCTACAGCAAGCTAGTTTTTAAGTTCACCATTTTGTATGGCCCACAAATGATGTTATAAATATCCATACAGTCCTTGGCAGAAAAGAAGGTTCCCCACCCCTGCTGTGATGAAGTTCTATAAATCTTGAGGAGCTTTCATTTTCTAGGTGTTAGGCTAAAAGTAAGCTCTGCAGACACAAATGTGAACATGAAACAAGTAAAATGACAGATGTCTGAAGACCGAGACCAACAACCAACCAAGTCACCCAAGTCCTGACCAAACTAACTTAAACCACACATCTGAAGGTTTGGTGTTAACCGACGCCGTAAGACTTAGTTATATGTAGGTTCATATCTTCAAAAAGGAGTAGGGAACCTGACACTGTGCAAGTGATATTCTTAGATAAGATAAACCCAATAGATTGGGGACCTGGAACAGAATAATCGCTCCTCTCTAACCAAATCTCTGCCCTGGTCTTCCATAAAGGCCTTCCTGGTGTCAGAACGAACAATCCATCCACTGCTATCTCTTTGCCAGGCTAGGGAGTACTTTTTAAATGCCTCTGAGATGATTTCTCAAGGGGCAAGCATTGTGGCGCAATGTGTTCAGACGCCTCATGGGATGCTCTCATTCCAGGGGTGCCTGGGTTCAAGTTTCCGTTCTGCTTCCGATTCCAGCTTCCTGCTAAAGCTCCTGGAAGGCAGATGATAGCCCAAGTAGTTGGAGTCATGCCACCCGCGCGGGAGACCCAGATAGAGTTCCTGGCTCCCGGCTTCAGCCTGGCCCAGGCTTGGCTGCTGTAGGAAGTTGTGGAGTAAACCAATAGATGGAAGACCTCTCCTTCTCCCTCTTTAGCACTAACTTCAAATAAATAAAACTTCAGCCAGAAGAGCCAGAACAAGCAAGCATTTTGCCAATGAGGAAACCCAAGCTCTGTGACTAGTAAGTGGCAGTATTTCCCTGGTCTCAGTATTTCCTTGGGCTCACTCTCCAGTGTGGGATGAAACAAGTCAGTTTGCCTCTTGTTCCCAATTCTTCTCAATGTGTACTTAACTAGTTCGTGCAACACCACGTACCATCAAGTTAGGTCTGTGCCATGGCTCTCTCATTACGAACAGCTCCCAGCCTCTGGCATTGTAGCTTCTCTAGGCCTCACCTCTGGCTTATCACTGACTTGAACTTGTTTGCCTCTTCTACCCGATGTACCACCCAGTTCAAGGGGGATGCTGGGGCCGGTGCCGCAGCTCACTAGGCTAATCCTCTGCCTGCGGCGCCAGCACCCCGGGTTCTAGCCCTGGTTGGGGCGCTGGTTCTAGTCCCAGTTGCTCCTCTTCCAGTCCAGCTCTCTGCTGTGGCCCGGGAGGACAGTGGAGGATGGCCCAAGTGCTTGGGCCCTGCACCCCATGGGAGACCAGGAGGAAGCACCTGGCTCCTGGCTTCGGATCGGTGCAGTGTGCCGGCCATAGTGGCCATTTGGGCGGGTGAACCAACGGAAGGAAGACCTTTCTCTGTCTCTAATTCTGCCTGTCAAAAAAAAAAAAAAGGTTGGGGGGATGCTGGAAGCTAGGAGAAACTGCTTTTCAGTTACATACATCCATCTTAAACTGAAAGAAGTTTAAAGATGGCATTTGTGATATTTTTCCTCTCTTGGCATTTTACTGATGTTTACTAGTGAGCTTTGCAGCTTCCTCAAAGAGGCAGGTGGATGACAATTCCATCTCCTTTCAATAGCAGGCATAAACTGGAAGGAAAAAAATAGGAATTGCCTACACCCGGGGTTTAGAATTCCTTGGAGCTACTACCTTTATATGCCCAGATGAACTGGGCATGGAGCTCTTGATGTGAACTCCAGTTTTAATGCATTTTGTTGGGATTCTTTTTATATGGAATAAATTGAATCTTGAAAATTTTTCTTTACAAAATTAAATACATTTGCTGATATATAAGTCTATGCTAGAACTTAGAAACAGGAGAGATACATGTTTTTCCTCATTTATGACAATGCGAATGCCCCTGTCTTGTGTCACTGTGTGTGTTTTCCAGGCAGGATCACTTAACTCCTAACACAAAACTGAAAAAAGTATGAGGCACAAGTTTTATCCACATAAAAATGTGTATGTACACATTGTTTACCGAAAAATTAGGACTAAAGTAGACTTCTCAAGGCATGCTTGATGTGTCTCTACTGTATAGCTACGTGGTATGCTGCCATGAACTACACATGCTTAAGCACATGTTCATTGTGGATACATAGGCACTCACATAAAGCAAGGCAGCTACACCCTCAACTCTCACAGCCGCCTCCCACTTATGACCCGCTCTGCCTAATGAAGTAGCAGCTAACATTTATTGAGTACTTACTATGTACCCAAAACTACTCCGCACTTCACATGTATCACCCCCATTTAATGCTCACCTTGAACATCCAGGGAAAATCAACGATCCCCTTTTTTATAGACAAGCAGATGAAGGGGGCACACAGAATCAAGGGTTTCGCCAGAGATCGGATAACTAGTAAGCCCAGGCCCAAGATTTTAAAACAGCACTAGAGATGCTGCCTCCCCATCTGGTTCTTCCTAGGAAGAATTCTCAGGCTGAGGTCTTCTGTAGAAAGGACTCAATGGGCTAACATAGTACATGGTTCAAAGGTGAAACCAGGAAACGAGAACCACAGATCAAGCCTGTTTTAAGCCTCAGTTTCAAGGAAAGAAAGCTGGCTAGATTGGGGAGGCAATGTGACACATGTACCTCCTCTGAGAAGGAAACAGCAGAAACTGAAAGGGATGCCATGAACCAGTCCTAGCAACAAGACACATCGATATTTCAGAGCCTTCAACCTTGGCTCTTACAGCATGAGAAACCTGAACTGGCCAATTTCTTCAATCACCACAAAAAATACAACAGGTAGTATAGGGGATGGAAAAAGTCTTTGGGTCAACTGAAAACCTGAAACACTCACAGTCTGTTCACTTTTCTTTATACTCCACATCCTCTATGAGAATTTAAAACTATAAGGGTTTAAATCTTGTGATCTTTTCAAGGAACAAATTAATCAAATGAATCCTTACCACATCCCTAGGGAACATGGCATTATCCCGAAATCATATTGCATACAACATCCTTTCAGGATAAACATGTTAAGCAAATTGGGTTATACAAGGAACATTCCTCAAC